TCTATGTGTACTTGTTGATTTACATGGAGATCATGTTCATTTGTTGATTAATTGTGCTTATTGTGTTTGTTAAAATTGCTAGATAATGTTGTGAGCAAGCATAATAATTTGGTGATGTTAAATTCCCCATTTTATAATATTGTCAAAGCATGTATATGCATCCAAAGCATCGGGCATGAAAAATGGGTGAAGTAGTTTTTGAAATGAACAAAAAAAGGGATTTTGGGAAAACATTTTAAGAAAATGTTTTTGAGAAAACCCGGTCGTCGCGGGGGTACCAAAGGGCCGGAGTGTTAATATAGCCATATGGAATTAAGGAGATTGCCCTAGCGTGGTTGAGCTAGCAGGGCCCAAAATGACGCCGCGGGGGTACCAAGGGTCAGGAACACTAGCCAATCATTCTCTTATGTCGCTACGGGGTCACCAAAGGGCGGGTTATATTAACAATTGCCAAGTGATGGATGATTTTTGAAAAAAAATAAAATAGGGAGTGACATACATGACATAGCATTCATGGCACGATATTTGTTTATTCAAATTTGGAATTGACCTTGTATTTTTCGATTTAGTATGATCACTATTCCTATTGTCCCGTTCTTTGCTTGGATTCACGGGGCTGCAAAGGGTGTGCCTTAGGCACTATCTACTGAGCTTTACGCTCACCCCATTATTTAACATTTTTTTCAGGAACCGGAAAAGGCGTAGTAGATGCAGACCTTCCACAAGCATAAGGATGACTAGGAGTTTATCTTATATCTTTTGTATATTTTCCACTCTTTTGCAAATCATGGTCATGTAATTTAATTAAACACTTGACTATATTTTGATGTATATGGAAACTATGTAATTGCTTGTATTGAATGGGAGAACAATGTTATATCATTGGCAAATTTAGTGACAACTATCCTTGTATAATGATGAGTCTTTGCCGTGAATTCGGAACTTCAGCACTTAATTAGTTCATTGTGGGATTATTATGCATTTTACATAGTCAGTATGTGCTCCCAGTGAGCTTCATCCTAGGATTGCATGTTTCGACCGGCTGACCCTCTCCATCAGCCGACCAAAACCCCAGGTTCGGCCGACCAAACCCTCTCATCCAGCCGACCAAAACGCCTACAGTGAAAGTCCCGAGAGCCTGTAAACTTCTTCACCATTTCAGCCGACCGACCATGTAGGTCAGCCGGTCGACCATGCCTTGGCAGCTGGCCGATGAAGGCCTATCAGCCGGCTGACTATCCCTTTTGACCTGAAATGTTAACCAGCATTGTGAACTTGCACCCTTGAATATTCTGAGCTCCGGTGTGAGTTTTATGACAGGTTTGAACATGGGAAATGAAATGTATGACCTAGTTGACCTCGGGTTCGGGCAAGAACTCGGTAACGGTCTGAATCCACGGATTCGGGACGTTATAATGTCCCCATTGTCTTTTTGGCTTGTAATATTTCCTTTGTGTTCTGTTTGTTCTGTATTATTTTTGGTGGGTGTGTTTCTGTTTGTAATATTTTTGCGGTACTATTTTATCGTTTGGTTACGTTGGCCGGAATGAAGTGGTAGAATACTACACCTATAAGGATTGCGATGAACAAAGTGTTCAGACCCAAGCGGTTTAACGACTGCTTTAAATATGGGAGAATGTCATCATGAATTTATACAATGGGAACAACGTTGGCCTTTTTGATGGTAAAAGTGATTCGACCCAAACAGTTTCACGACTGCTTTAAAAAAGGGTGAATCTCATCATAAGACCATAAAGATTTGTTTTATAATGAATTTTTATTTATGCAGAATACTTTAGAGTTGTATAGTTTTGAAAATTTCTATACAAATGAAGAATATTCTAGAGTTGCACAGTTACTACATATTAAAAAATTCATGTCCAATATATTCTCATACATGTAGTTTTATTAAAGTATGAGTATTACTACTATTTTAATGTGTATTTTTAACCAGAGAGTAGCCACAACATCTTTGGTTATTGGTTTTGCGATACAAAATAAAAATAAAAAATAAAAAAGTTTTAATATATGATATTAATATCACATAAAGATTATGCATTAAAACGTTATAGTTCATTCATAAAAAGTATTTTATTCTGCCCTACAGGGAAATAATCATTGTCTATGAATGAACGTGGATACAAAAAAAGGGATATGGAATTAAACTGGCAATGAATACAAATGTCCACAGGACTGTATCATTATCAGTTTAATGCCAGTAAAGAATATTTTATCCTATTATGGTTATATTTTCAAAACTTTAGTGTATTAAAATCTCTGCCCACGGGAAGGTTATAATGACACATTGTTTTGATATGAAATTTTTTTTAATGTGGGTTAAGAATTTCAATAAAGTTTATTGTATAGTAGAGTAATGTTTGGCATGTTTTCTTTTTGCAGTAATTTCATCTGGTTCTATCAATATTGGTTCATCTCATATCCCATTTTTAATTGGTGATAATGATTCAGATTGGAAGGAGAAAATCCTTCTAACATTGGGGTGTATGGACATTGATTTTGCATTTCGTGTGGATGAACCACCCATCCCCACGGAATCAAGTACGCCAAGTGAAAGGGCTTTTTATGAGAGGTGGGAGCGATCAAATCGCTTAAGTATATGTCTCATTAAAAGTCATGTTGGGAAAAATATAAGGAGTTCAATTCTTGAATGTACTAAGGTAAAAGAATACATGACAGCAACTGAACAACAGTTTGTAAGTTCCGATAAAGCATTGGCTAACACCCTAATGACCAAATTATCATCAATGAAGCATATGGGTGATAAAGGGGTCCGTGAACATATTATGGAAATGAGAGATATAGCTGCCCAAATGAACTCATTGGAGTTTACCTTTTCAGAGACATTCCTTGTCCAATTTATACTCAACTCCCTGCCTGCTAAATATGGGCAATTCTAGATTTCTCATAACACACATATGGAAAATGGTCAGCTAATGAATTCCTTACCATGTGTGTTCAATAGGAAGGGAGATTGAATCAGGAGAAGCTAGAAAGTGCTCATCTAGCGACTCATGGAAAGGGACATATCAAAAATGGTGTGCAATTTAAGAAGAAGGGGAATGCATCAACTAGCAAAGTTGACGATAAGGGTAACATCAAATGTTTCTTCTGTAAAGAGAAAGGGCACATGAAAAAGGAATGTTCAAAGTATAAAGCTTGGCTGCTTAAAAAAGGGTAATCTCTTTTCCTTGGTGTGTTATGAATCAAATGTAGTTAATACATTTAATGATGCTTGGTGGATTGATTCTGGTTCTACAATTCACATTGCCAATACCATGTAGGGTTCAATCAACCTAAGGAGACTGACGAAAAATGAACGTTTCATCTATTCGGGAAACAAGATGAGTTCATATGTGGAGGCGGTTGGAACCGACAGACTCACATTACCATCTGGCTCTACATTAGAACTTGAAAGAACTTTTTATATTCCAACTTTATCAAAAAATTTGATTTCTATTTCGAAAGTTGTTGGATATGTTTAGTTTTAATTTCTTTAATACTTCTTTAAGTATTGTAAAAGATTATGTTGTTATTGGTAATGGTATTTTTGTGGATGGTTTAAATAAATTAGATTTAAACCCTAATATTGATCACAACCACTTAACTTTGCATGGAAATATTAGCATCAAGTGTAAGGCTAAAACAGAGAAATCTTCTTCATTATGGCATAGAAGATTAGGACATATCTCCTTACAAAGAATTAAAATATTAGTAAATGATGGAGTTCTTGATACTCTTGATTTTTCTGATTTTGGTATTTGTGTGGACTGCATAAAGGGTAAGCAGACTAACAAAACCAATAAGGGTGCCAGAAAGAGTTCTCAAGTTTTAGAGATCATACACACTGATATATGTGGACATATTCAAATTTCATGTTTCAATGGTCAAAAATATTTTGTCACCTTTATTGATGATTGCACATGTTTTATGTATCTTTACCTTCTAAATGATAAAAGTGAAGCACTTGATGCTTTTAAATCATATAAGGTGGGGTAGAGAAACAAAAGAAAAAACAAATCAAGATAGTGCGATCGGATAGAGGAGGAGAATATTATGGTAGATATACAGAACAAGGACAAAGACCAGGTCCATTTGCAAAATTCCTTATAGAGAATGACATTATAGCACAATATTCGATGCCAGGCACACCAGAACAAAATGGTGTAGCAGAAAGAAGGAATCGAACGCTAATGGACATGGTAAGAAGTATGATTAGTAATTTTTCTCTCCCTTTATCTATATGGAGTGAGGCCTTAAAAACGACAGTGTATATCTTAAACAGGGTTCCAACCAAATCAGTTCCAAAAACACCCTTTGAGTTATGGAATGGTTGGAAATCAAGTACAGGACACTTACATATATGGGGTTGTCCAGTTGAGGTCAGGGTGTAAACAACTAAGGGTTTCAGCGGCGGTTTAGACCGCCGCTATAAAGTTCCAAAAATACCGGTAATTCCTTTACTGGCGGTTTTTCCTAACCTCCGGTATAACCACGCCGGTAGGTTTCACCAGCGGTTTTTACCTAACCGCCAGGTTTGAAATAATTACCGGCAGATGTATACAACCGCCGATGAAAGATGATTCAGCTGCGGTTTTGTCCGCTAGTGCATTCAAATAAAAATGTCAATTAACTGTATACTCCGGCACTTTGAAGTGCCGGTAATCTAATTTTTTACTTTTGGGGGCGTTTTAAACCACCGGTGTATTCTTATACTCCGGCACTTTGAAGTGCCGGTAATGTAGATTTATTACTTTTTGGGGCGTTTTAAACCGCCAGTGTATTCTAATTAAACTGTATAATTTTTTACTTTCGGGGGCGTATTAAACCGCCGGTAATGTGTTAATTTTTATAAAAAAATATATATTATTTTCAGGTTTATTTACATATTAGCAAATATTTTATTTTGTTTCCTGTTCAATGAAATCAAAGATAATTTACCAGTCACAACACATCCAACAACTTAAATTTGATATGTAACATAGAACAAAGTTGCATTAAAATTCAATAACATCCCATAACATATAAGTTTTGTTTCAAAATGTGAAGTGCTAATAAAAGGTTCAAAAGGAAACACCACAAATGTAATAAAGCTTCAAAAGGAAATCATTCAAAATAAAACATCAACATTTCATTGAGAATTTGAGTGAGACTATGTAAGGGTCTTGAGAATTAATGGTTTAACTTCATATCTCGTCTTGCTTCAAATTGCCCTACATACATTTTAAATAAAAGCCATTAAACAAAGAATAATAATTAAGACAATTAAATGTATGGTTAAAATAACATGATAATTAAAATCTATAATGCTCACCAAGGACGAAATTTCATGACCAAAACTAAAATTTAAGGATCACCAAGTGTAGTTGAGGAGCCGGGTACCTTCACAATAAAATATAATTTTATTATACACCTTCATAATAGTATATAATTATAAATATATTAGGACTTATAATATTTATATAATTAAATGTTTACAAGGGTACAATAACAATAATATTTACTTGTACATTAGAATTTTGATTTTAAATGTGACGCAAAATCATAGCCATTTTTGCATTCAAAGCTTTATATTTTTCATCATACTGAACACGCATCTTTTCCACTGTCTCCTTCATTTCTGCATGAGTAACACGGGTCTCCTCTGCTTGTGAGGTCCTCCTTATCAGGTCTGCTTTACTAGGAGATGGCCCCTAAAGACTAGTAGATGTAGGTCCCAAGCCATACATCCGAACACAGCCCCTTCTTTCTTCTCCCCTAACTTGGGCATAAAAATCATGGGGTGAAGGTTCATCTGGCTTAGAAGGCTGAGTTGCAGCAAGCTCTTCTAGTTGTGTCTGCCTACATACATAGAATGGATAAGGAAACACAAAAAAATATAAAACATCAAATATAATAAATTTTAGTACTCATATTTTACACTTAATCAAACTATGAAATAAAGAATTGATGGTCTAAAAAAATACTTACAATCATTTTGGCAGCATGTTCATCACTAGCTTTGCCATCTTTCTTGCTCTTATGTGTTGCGCAAAATAGTTGAGCACGAGTTAGCGCCTTCCCTGATCCCAACTTCATCTGTTTTTTTTTTTTTTTTAATATATATAACTTACTATAATTATACCGCAATGATGTATAATAAATTGTGTCACATACAAGTGATTAACTTCATAAAAAATCGTGCTTAACCTTTTTAGCCTTCCGCGCGTAACTCATTATCCTAGTTGTGTGCAACATTGTTTGCTTAGAGCGATTTACTTCATTTTGTTGGCTTTGTTCCTTAAACAAGGGAATAAGAAGGTATATAGTAGCTCTTAAATTGTAAACACACACACACCATATATATATATATATATATATATATATATATATATAATATAACTATTGGATAGTTCTAATGAGCTAATTAGATTACAGTTTTTTATTGAATTCCATTTCGGTTTTGTTTAAATAAGCATTGCCATGTTTCATACATGAGTAAACATCATAACCAAGAAGCCATTGACACAAACCTTCGTCAAAAACTATGTAACTCAGGCTTCCCCAGCTCAGACTTTATGCAGCTTATTATATGTTCAGACATTTGTTTATTCTTTTTCTTACAACTAAAAAATTCACAGTACTTTCAGCCTTCTCATCACCATAGCACCGGCGAGATGAACCAGAAACTACTTCAGATCCCATCAAAGAATCTTCTTGACTAATCAATACTAAACCAATTGTAATTATTCACTATCAGAACTAATTCTAAATTCTCTTTGATGCAACTCCAGGATTTTGATGTATGCAATGTATAATATATAACTACTGTAGGCAACTAGAAACCCAAGTGCTAGGATACTATTTAGATCAGATTAACTTGCAGCATATAGACTATAGTAGTTCATGTGTGTTTAAATGATATAGACTGACTGAAAAAAACTAGAAAAAAAATGCTAGAAACTGACTAAAAAAAAATACTAGAAATTGTTTAATGCCATTAAGATCGAGTAGGGAGTGCTAAATACGGCAATAATATTGGAAGCTGTCACCCCTCTACTTCTAGTGACATGTTAAAAAAAAAAACAAAAAAACAAAAAAAACAAAAATTAAGAATCTTATTATTAACTAAAAAAGATGATCAAGCTTATAGACTAGAATTGTGGAATCAGAAGTAGATATAATTGTCACTCAGAGAAATGTAATTATGTATTGTGGAATAAATTTTGTATACTATATAATGATAGCAGAGGTGATCTCCTTAAGAGACAACAATCCAAACACTTGGCAGAGCCTATAGACTAGTATTTTTATTTTATCAAAGCAGGGGATCTGTGAGTGTTATAGAATTGGCCATGCTTTTAAGCTAATGTTTCAGCAAAAAGCTAAACTGATGATTCATAAATTTATAATAAAAATAAGGACATTTTACTTGGCAAATTCAATTATAATGAAGAACAACACCAACAGCAAATATCAGAAAAAAAATAAAATAAAATAAAGCCTTTTAAAAGAAAAATTTTGCAATGAAAAACATGTTGACATAAAGTTTAAAAGAGCAAGGAAATAAAAAACCATCACAATTGGTGGAAATCCAATCTAAAGCAAATGGAAAAAAGTAAAAGGAAATGCTCTCATAAAATAAAATTTGTTCACAACTTAAAGATTATGAAAAGTATGTGGAAAAAATATAAGCAGCTAAAGCTGAAAACAAGAAAGGACATCAATCAACACACACACACACACACACACACACACACACACACACACACACACACAAACTGCATAGGACAGCGCTAATTCTAACAAAAGTCAAGAAACAATAACCAGAGAAAGGAAATTATAGAACAAAATAAAAAATGACAAATTAAAATGGGATTAAAAATCAGGAACAAACAAGAATTGAACATAAAGAACCAAATCAAACAACCACAGCTAATAGACTGAGGAGTCTACAAAATCCCAAAACAAAATTTCAAATAGCTCAAGATTAATCGCCTTTTTTGTTCTTAACACAACAGATTAGTGGGTACTACTAATTCTTAAGCAGGAAAAAAAAAAAAAAAAAAAAAGAAGAAGAAGAAGAAGAAGAACGGGAATATACCCAAAAAAATCGTTTCTTTATCTCTTCTCAACTGTCCACTTGTTATTTTATATATACATCACGACCACACTTCACTCATGTCTCTAACCATAACTATGAAACTTTGCATAGGCCAGCCATCGTAAAAACCGACACAAACAGTACTCTTTCTCTCTCTATATATGTGTGAGGTGTTGGTGTAGGTATACAAAACACAAGCATTATCTATTTCTTTTACTATCATGGCGAACAAGAGGTGTGAAATATTGCCAAACACGGCTTTCATTTTCACACTCACTCTCATTTGCATGTTTAATTTCTATCCTATCATGGCTCATGAAGCAGGATATATCTCTTCAGTCATTACGGCAGAGAATGATGCAAATGAGCAAAGAAATTTAGAAACATACATTGTTCTCATACTTTTGGTTTTGCTGCTGTTTTTTTGAATCCACTAAGGATAAGCTTTACAGTTCTCCTATAGGACATGCTTAGGTAATAAATTTACAAAGCACACATGTTTATGCACTTACCCTCAATGATTTGTCATACCTAATGATTTATAGGAGGAAATGTTTCTATTTTTAACACGGCCACATAGGTGACCAGGGCAAAGAAGATGGAAGACCCTCATGCTAAAACTCAGTTTAACTCTTGGGCACTTTTTCACCCTAGTTACATTACATATTCATATATGGTTATGAAAAAACACATCAATTCTATGTGCTTTGACCATCTTACTTGGCTATATTTTTACAAATGTTTCAGATTATATTATTATTATTATTTTATTTTGCAATTGTAAATTAGTAGATTAAAATTAAATGCTAAAATCACCAATTTAATAATTTTGAATAGGACCAGTATGTTGACCACAATTGTAAAAGCTGTGTAGGACTGGGAAAATTAGAACCTTTCAAAATAAAATATGCACGATTGAGATATCTAATTGTAGGCAAATGGCTGTTTATATCAAACAGGTAAATGACAAGTATGTCACTCAAAAGTGTGTCCCCAGATGTAAGTTTTTATGAATGCGATTATTCAAACTAGGTTTGAGACATCATCTTCACAAGAGAGAAATTCCATACATCTCAAGAACAAGAAGGGGAAAGTTAGGGTTTAAACTACTTACAACTTACAGGAGCCCAACCCTTCAACCACCACTGTCCAGACCTTCGATGCACCACCAATCGACCACCACCGCACCACCCGCACCATCAATCGACCACCGCCGTCGTGCTCTTCCCTGTTTCTCCTGATGTCGTAAGTAAAAGAGACGAAAGGAGTCGAACCTAAAACGTTCATATGAAGCTATCGCAAACCCAAAATATGCTATATTAGGATAGAATAATGAAAAATAAAATAATAAGAATTAAATTTACCGGCACACTGTTTATAACTGCCGGAAATAATTAAAATTTTCCGGCACTTTAAAAAGACTGCCGGGAATAATCAATATTTTTTGGCAGTATACCGTCGGTATAAATACAAATAACAGCGATTTATGAGAAACCGCCGGAAATAATTAATTAAGAGCCGCAAATGGGAAAAAACCATCGGTGACAATAAGTGTGTTTTTTTATTGGCTATGCAGAAAAGTCCAAGGAGTTCAAGTTTTATTCTTCTTCACATAAACCCATTATTGTTAAGGCAAGAAATGCTAGGTTTCTCGAGGATGTTGACATTAGTGGGAATGAACAACCTCGAAATTTAATTTTTGAGGAAATACGGGATTTGGTTGTTAGACTTGTGACTAAAGAACCTGTACTTCAAGACATTTCTCAAGATATTATTATGGAAGAACAGGTAAATCAAGAAATTCCTACCCGCGAGAATCCTGTTGTCAATGAACCTGTTCTAAATGAACAGATAGAGTTAAGAATGTCCTCAAGAGTAAGAAAACCTACAATCCCCCCTGATTATGTTGTATATCTACAAGAAATTGACCATGATATTAGAATTGATAAAAACCCAATTACGTTTTCACAAGCCATGAGTGGAGAAAATTCAAGATTATGGTATGATGCCATGTTAGAGGAACTAGACTCTATGGCTAAAAATCAAGTCTGGGATTTGGTTCAATTGCCAGAAGGGGTTAATGCAGTCGGCTGTAAATGGGTTTATAAGACTAAAAGAGACCCAAAAGGCAAAATTGAACGATATAAGACCAGACTTGTAGCCAAAGGGTATACCCAAAGGGAAGGCATTGATTACCATGATACATTTTCTCCCGTTTCTACAAAGGATTCTCTTTGTATTATCATGGCATTGGTAGATCATTTTGATTTAGAGTTACATCAAATGGATATGAAAATGGCATTTCTTAATGGGGACTTGAATGAGGAGGTATACATGAAACAACCTGAAGGTTTTCATTCAGATAAAGAAAACAATATGGTTTGCAAACTCAAGAAATCCATATATGGGTTGAAACAAGCTTCACATCAGTGGTATTACAAATTTCATGATGTTATCTCTTCTTTTGGGTTTAAAGAGAACATCGTTGATCATTGTATATACCTTAAGGTTAGTGGAAGTAAGTTCATTCTTTTGATCCTATATGTGGATAATATTTTGCTTACCAGTAGCGACTTAGGGTTGCTACATAAAGTTAAAGAATTTCTCTCTAGAAATTTTGATATGAAAGAAATGGGTGAAGCATCCTGTGTCATTAGCATAGAAATTTATAGGGATAGATCTCAAGGATTGATTGGATTATCCCAAAAGGCCTATATTAATAAACTTTTAGAGAGATTTCGAATGTTGGGTTGTGCTTCAAGTGTTGCTCCTATTGTCAAGGGTGACAAATTCAGTCTAAATTTATGCCCAATAAATGATTTAGAAAGGGAAGAGTTGAAAGTCATTCCTTATGCATCTGCAGTAGGATGTCTAATATATGTGTAAGTATGCACTAGACCAGACATTGCATTTGCAGTAGGAATGTTAGGCAGATACCAAAGTAATCCAGGAATGGATCATTGGCGAGCTGCAAAGAAAGTGATGCGATATCTACAAGGGACAAAGGATTACATGCTGACATACAAAAGATCAGATCTTTTGGAAGTGGTTGGATATTCTGATTCTGATTTTGGAGGATGCATTAACTCTAGAAAGTCAACATCAGGATATGTATTCCTTTTTGCAAGAGGAGCTATCTCGTGGAAAAGCTTAAAACAGAAATCAATTACTTCCTCTGCTATGGAGGCAGAGTACGTGGCATGTCATGAGGCTACAGGGCATGCCTTATGGTTACGGAATTTTATCACAAGTCTTAAAATTGTGGATTCCATCTCTAAGCCATTTGAAAATCTATTGTGATAATTCCGCTGCGGTTCGTTTATGTAACAACAATACAAGTGGGAGTTCAAACAGGTGGATTGACATAAAGTTCCTTATTGTTAAAGAAAAAGTTCAGAATCATCAAATGTTAGTAGATTACACAGGAACAAGGTCAATGGTCACAGATCCTTTGATAAAGGGTTTGCCACCCAAATTGTATAAGGAACATGTAGGACATATGGGGCTTATTGATATGTCTTGTGTTTGATTTACTAAAACACTTTAAAGTTTGTAATCGCATATATGTTCTGATAATTCTTAGTATTTATTTGTCATTTTTAAAGAAGTATACATAAAGTTTATAAATGACAAATTATCATTTTGGATAATAAAGTAGGACCTCAGAATAGGCCTATAGGAGTTATTCATACAAATAGTCCATTGGGACAATAAAGTTGACTTCCTTGAATAGTTTTTTCTTGAAATAACTATTTATAAAGTACTGCCACATAAATATGTTTATCTAAAGAAAGACAGTGATATAATGATACATGGAAGGTAACACTCATATATATAGTGTGATTTCCGCCATGATTTTATACACTTAAATTCTTTAGATAAAGTTTTAGTTCTCAAACCTATAAGGAAAGTAAGTGTATCAATATTGGCCAAGTGGGAGAGTGTTAGACACGTATATTTATAACACGTGCGTGGCCCATATTGCCATAATACATTTATATTCTAATCCACTGCGTCTGACACAACGTTACACGTTGTGGGAAGTTGATGGTGGTTATCATCTGATTAGTATAAAACAAGGGTTTGCATGATGGATTGCTCTCTCTCGTTTTCATTCATACAGAATCCTTACAGAGGTCCCATGCCTAACAAAAGCAGTCTGTGTTGTCTCCATCGAGTATCCGCATTCAGATTTGTCTAGGCGTGAACATCATTAGGATTTTCAAATTTGTTTTGCAACCATTAACCAAATTGATTTCACGGCTAGAAGTAATGCGATCTCTTTGGACTTGATAGTTTCTTTCAATCAAAACTAGGATTTGACTAGGAAAGTTTTCACACCTTTGATAGTAATCTTAAAAGGAAAAAATAAAAATCAGGATGGAAATCTCGCATATATATTGATGAAGATTGATCAAAAAAGAAAAGGCAAAAACAATGGGAAAAACAAGTTGTGACGACCGCGACGTAATCAGCAATCTCCCAGATAAGCTACTATGTTCAATCATCTCACTACTTTCGGCGAAAGAAGGCGTGGCAACAACCACCGTGTCTACCCGGTGGAGCCACCTCTAGAGGTCCATTTCTCGCCTGGATTTCGACCCGAAAAAGTCGGACATAGATGATAAATATAAAAACAATATATTTTAGACAAGGGTATTTAGGGATTTTGGAAAAAATAGCAGATGACGTCATCAATTTTCGTCGTTGACTGGCGTTGACCGTAATGGAAGGGAGGTCCGTGTAGGATATTTTCAAAAGTAGGGGAGGTCCGCGTAATTTCCGAAACAAGAAGGGTGCTCCGTGTAATTAGGGCAAACCATAGGGGAGGTCGGCCCCTTAAAATTTTAAAAAATTCACAAAAGGCCTTTAAAAAAAGTCAAAATTAAAAAAAAAAAAAAAACAAAGCAAAACAAGACAAAACCCTCATTTTCTAACTTATTTGTCTAACAAAAATTTCAAAATTGAAAAACACCTAAGTCTTTTTTTAGGTTGTACGAGAAATGTAGTAGACGACCTGAGATTTGGTTACAAGGACACTTTACAATATGATTTTCCCGGTAATATTTACTCATGCATTCAATGAAAATCAAGGAAATGGTATATATTTAGATTTTATTGTATTCCATTTTATTTTTTACTTACGCTATTTTATCCGGCTATTTCACTTCTGAAATTCTGTTACTAAAATTCGAGATCAATAATGGAATTGATGAGTCAAAGTTCCTGAAGTTTATCATCTCGATTTGTCAGAGGTAAAATAGGGAGAAGTGCTCCCTAGCTCCTGTATGATGTTATTCAATTCTTGGCCACTCAATGCAGTGTTGTATGTCTGAAATGAGTCGGCTATTGCAAATTAATCATTGGTACTCCCAACTCCAAGTTCCACATGTTTTGCATACGCTAGGAGTGACCACCATCAAGAATCTTGCATCTGCATCATAGCAGACCGAGCTCGAGCTGGTTTATTACTTAATTTGCTGTTATATGGTTGCGTCTGCAGGTTCTAGTCCTCCACTGCTCTTGGTCTTTAGTGGTTCTGCTCTATTGTTTTGGGTGGCATCTTCGGTCTTTTAATTGCTGACTGTCCCTTTTCTGGATAAAAGTATGTTTGAGTTTCAGACGCACTGTTTTTCTGTAATTTAGGCTTTCAGCTTCAGCTGGTTTTGCCTTTGGGCTTTTCTGTATCCTTGTTGCCCTCTTGGGGCTATTTGGGCTTGCCCTCTTGTCTATTGTTCTCTTATAAATTTTCTTTGCAGGAACAAAGAAGTTATATTATTGCAAGACATCTACAAGATTAAAGAAGTTCGTTTGTGGTACCATAAAAGTGAAATGGCTTGTTTTATTTTTTATTTTCTTGGGAAGTGAAATGGCTTGTTGCCCCTGTACGTCTAATATAGGTGGTGGTGATATTTGCAATCCTTTTCTATATATGTACTCATTTTCTTGTTTTTTCCTTGAAAGAAAATGCCAAATATATTCTAATAGTTATTGTCTTGCTGAGTTAGGGACAATAACGTCGTTTCATTTTAACGACCCTAATAATTGATTCTCTTGGTCGGAAAATAACATATTTCACTTTAAAAGTGGGAAAGTGGACTGTTTT